TCAGTGTATTCCAATAGCTTCTTTTCAGGGCTGTTCCTATCAAGTTGTGCCCTGCTCAGGTTCATTCCGTATGCAGGCCCTTCTCAAGTTCACTGTGCTTCACTGTGCACTTTATCTTAGGGTTGTGTGGATTCTTAGAAGCCACCCAATCCAGGTCTTTTGGGTAGAAGGTGAGTCCTAAGTCCATGGAGTGCTGCCATCTTTGTGGGATTCTGACTGAGTGTGGGTGTAGGGACATATACATTTATTCAGTTAAGGTTTTTAAAATGTAAGTTTCATGGCATAGAATTATACATACATGTGCAAATGTCAATTTCCTGATTTTGATTTTGTACCATAGTTACATAAATACAACTATTGGGGGAGACTGGATGAAGGGTACATGGGACCTTTCTGTTCTGCCTTTGCAGATTCCTGGAATCTTTAATTATTTCAAAAGAAATTTTTAAAAGTAAGTATTTACAAGGTGACTCATACGATGCTCTAGGGCTGATTCCATAGCATCTTCCACAGTTGTCTTGAGTTGGGGTTTTTTTTCCTTACAGAATGTAGTTTACCCAACAATTCAATGGCTTTTCCTAATTTTGACTATGAAGTCTTTTCCCAAGGAATTTCCTGTTGAAAGCTCAGACTGCATGTTCAGTGGCCTGTGTGTTCACGATACACTTAGCCAGCACCACCGTCAGCCTTAGCAATAACACTGTGTGTATTAGTCCTTCCGGGTCCTTGGTCTCCAGGACAGCTCCTTCCTTTCTCCTCCCTGTTGCTCTGCTCTGCCCTCCCTAACATTATGCAGACAGAGGGCCTGGAGTGGCCTGGCCAGTGTCCTCCTCAGACCTCTGAGAGGAAAATGCCCAAATGACCACTACAGCATGAGGGGTGAGACGTGTGAGACGTGCCCAGTGGTCATTTGGGGAGTCCATCAATCTAGCATCCATTCTCCTGTAGGTTGGGGTCGAGGCTGTCAGGGGATGAGGAGACAATGCTGAAGGGGAGACCGAAGATTAACAGCCTCCCAAGGATGTCATGTCCTCATCCCTGGAACATGCGTACGCATTAAGTTGCATGGCAGAGGGGGATTAAAGTTGCAGATGGATTCAGGTTGTTAACAGCTGATCTTACATGGGAAGTTGTCTTGGGTTATTCTGGTGGGCCCAGTGTAATCACAAAGGTCCCTAGAGGTAGAAGAAGAGAGGCAGAGGAAGAGATGTCATGGCTTCAGAATCTCACAAATGCTGTCCTACTGGCTTTGAAGACAGAGCAAGGGACCATGAACCAATGCATGTGGGTGGCCTCTAGAGCTAGAAAATGCAAGTAAATGAGTTCTCTCCAAAGCTTTCAGAAGGGAGTGCACCTTGAATTTAGTCCAGTGAGACCCATGTCAGATGTCAGACCCAAAGAACTGTAAAATAACAGTCAGTTATTTAACTGACTTCAGAGTAATTTCTTACAGTGCAATAGAATACTGACACCATGGAAAACTAATATACTACTGCAGTACATAAGATTTCAGGGTAATAAGTGATTGAGGGAAGCCTGGGCCTCAGAATCAGAGAAGAGAGTCCTGGGCTGAGTGGAGTGAAATCTGAGAAAGAAGGTAGTGATTGGGAAGGACAAGAAACCCAAGTTAGGGAGGAGGACAGTGCTATGCCAGGAGGGACTAAGTTAAGAGTCCAGAAAAGAGGTTTAGCCCAAGCAATCAGAGAAGCAGTTTTGGGGATTTGGAGCATATGGGTAGTAGCATAGAGGTGAGAATGGGATGGAGAGAGTGAATGTGGGAACAGTGGGTTTATGTTAGGTTGGGGAACAGCAAAAGGGAATGGGAAGAGCACAGAGCTAGGAATCAAGAAGTCTGGATTTTAGTCATTTTGCTAGCTGTGCTGTCATTTGGACACAGGTAAGTCTTTAAACCACCAGGGCTTTAGTTTTCCCATATGTAAGATGAGGGGCTCAGAGTATCAGGATTGCTTTCCAGATTGAAACAATAATTATACAGTTTGGTGAAGGACCTTAGGGAGCTCTTTAGGAATACTCTGACTCTGATTATGGTATTGCAGCGCACTGTGTCACTAAGTCAGTGTCTTTGGACACAGCTCAATACACTGTATGTAAATGACAGTGAAATATGTTTTCCCCCTTAGAAGAGTAACTTCTTTCCACTTGTGAGTGTTCATGATATTGCGTCAGCACAGAAATAGTGACTGTGGCACACCTGTGTCCCCATGATCAAAATATTTTGTATTTACAGTTGTATGTATATGATGCTTTTCATGGGGCAGGTTCAGAGTCTTTACAAACTGCCATCTCTGATTCCTTTTGGGACAGGCAGGTATTTTATAGTTGGCCAAACAGAAACATGGGGCTTTAGAGCCCCAAATCCCTCTTAGCATTAAGTATTCCAGAATCCTGAAATACTGAATTCAGTAAAAAATGTCTTTGCATTCTGTTTGATTTTGTACACTTTTCAGTTTCTCACAAACCTTTTACCGACAGAGCATCGTAGCATCTGCCAGTGATAGGGCAACCAGAGGGTTTGGCAGCTTGTGGGTGGGAGTTTCAGGGTTTGGGGACTTGGCGGCAGTTAGATTGGGCTGTGGTGTGGGAGGATGGAACTGTGTATTGATGATGGTCTTGGCTTTTCCTAAATCACAATTGCATCATATGAGATAGCTGAATTTATGTTGAGCTTTACAAAAGCTTCCTGGGAAAAGGGCAAAACTGGTTTTAGTGCGTAAGAAGGTTATTTATGGCAATTATGGTACCAAACTGAGACTGAGACTGTTGAGAATCTGGACCATTTTCTGGTGGAGAAAAAAATATCTATTTTACTTTTGTAAGTAGGAATCACATAGTAGAGTCACTTTGTAGTTGCACTGATTTTTGAAAGACTTCTTGTCCTTTCCATAGGACTGCAGGTAGGATATTCTTGTCATACCAGTTCAAATAAGGGTGACTTCTGAAAATAAATACAGGGAAAGAAATAAGGATGAATAGAAAGAAAATGGCCAGCTCCTGGGGAGGGGATTTGAGGATGTCAGTTATGGCTGGCCAGCTTTCTTATGACTCATCTGCACAGCAGAGCCGTATGGCTGGTCCCCTGGAAGCCCAGGGTTACAGCTTTCTGTAGTATTAAGATGACTCACAGAGATGGGGGCTGTAGGTTCCACTGCAGGTTTATCTTACTTGTATAAATATGACTTAGGTCTTCGGTTTGATTTGAGTTTTTAACTTGTGCTCTGATTTCTAGTGATAGAATGCCATAAAAGGGAAACTGTATTAAATATTTTTTTTTAAACAAAAAGATTAGAAAACTAGAGCACACCTCAGTCATCCTTGCATGTTGTGCTCTAAAATGGGTTACTTTTGGTAGAGTCCTGACAAGAATTCTTCTACTATGTGATATAAATGTAATCTATCAATCAACAACTCATTTGGGATATATTAAGCACTTCAACTTTTCCAGTCACTACTTTTGCCTCAACTTTGTAGAATCATCTTCTCCCTTTAATGGCATCTTAAGTATCAGAGCATCCTGATTGTTTTTGATGAGCAAAGCTCAGTTCAGTCCAGTTTAAAACTCCAGTTTTGTATCCAGTTTAAAACTCTTCTCCTAACCCATTGCTCAAGGGGGCCAAAAAGTGGGTTGGAATTGGAGATTGGAAAGAGAGAAAGGGAGGAAGAGAAGAAGACAGAGATTGAGATAGGCATGGAGATAGGTGGAGTACTTGTAAGATACCTCCTCCCCTTGTCTGTCGCATAGACGATCCAGGCCTGGGGTGAGGGGTGCCGGGACAGAGAAGGTAGCTGTCGTCTTACACGCTTGACTCTCCGCCAGTCATGGGAAGCTGTCCGTGTCTTCCTCCGGTCACTTTGGTCTAGCTGCTCCTCCACCTCCGCTGATGTAATAGTCTCCATACGAGGTTTCTTGTTCAGGCAGACCTGGCCTGCTCTGTCAATGAGGACTTCCTGAGAGAGGGGCAGCCCTGCATGATCCCTATCTCTGGTCCTCTCTGTGGTGGGGTGTCAGCTCATTTGTCCTGGTTGTCTGGACAGCCTGTTTGTCTTTGTCCTCCCTCTGTTCCGCAGCACTTTCTGTGGACCAGTGGACACCCCTGAGATTTTCTTACATAACTTCTGTCATGACTTCAGGGTGGAGGTGCCACACTTTTCTTTCTGCTGTATTTTCTCGTCACGCTGCCAGAGGGCTACTCTAAAAGCCTCTAGTCTTCAGAAATCTAAAGGGAGAAGCAGGTATAAATCTCTGTGTTCAAGTGCCGCACCCATCTTTAGGCCAAGCCCTCCCTAGAACTCTCTCACCAGGCTCCACCATGCTTCACTCATGGCACAGTGAGGTGCCAGGAGCCTCTTTTCCTTGCAGTTACTCCCAACTCTGCAGGGATTCTCTTGGAGGCATGCATTCCCCCTCCCTTCAACAAACTTGGCTTTGTAGGATAAGGAAAAGAAAACTTCCCCACTGTATGCACTGCAGGCTATGTGCAAGGCTGGGGACTTGACTCACTCTTCTCTTCCTGCCTAGGCTCTTGCATGGACTGGGAAGAGGTGTAAGGGTTGGGTTGATGGCTTACAGGCACAGTGTTGGTTTTCACTACTATTAAGCCTTAAGGGAAGGTGTCTATCCCTTTAGATATGGAGACTCAGTGCCTGTAGATTTCATCTGTGGACCCAGTGCCAGTGAATTTTCACCCAACATCCTGGCATACTGGTATCTAGTTATATATATATATGTGTGTTCTCATGCCAGTCAGTGGCCTTTCAGTGTTACGGGATAGTATGTTTGTTTGTTTGTTTTTGTATTATTTATTTTTTTGTATCTGTCAGTTCAGACTCCTGGAAAAGTCATACAAAATAATGGTTTATAAAAAATAATAAAAGGCTCTGTTTACTTCAGTACTGATTTGTTTCCCAGGAAACATTTGATTTCCCTGGCTAGATGCTGTAAATCCAGTAGGACTTTATATTTACATTGTTTATTTTAATAGGGATTTATTCTGTAAGGCAAATCATGGTCTCTGAGATGCATCCCACATGAGAAGAGCCCAGGGAGGCAGTGGAGCACTTGTTGGAGTCAAGTTGACTTGGCTAGAACCAGCAGCCATGTGAGACTGGGTGAGTCACTTAACATCTTCCTCAGAGACAGAATAAAAGTATTACTGCCTGTCCATCCCAGAGTGTTATGAAGACTCAACTGAACAATGTATATAAAGCATTTAATACAATGCCTGAATCATAGGAAGTATATAATAAGGTTTTCTACTTTTATTATCTTTATGTTATAGACAATGATTATCTATATGATTATATAATTCCACTACAATTTGAATTAAAAACATATCAGATTGGGCAAGGGAGGCCAAGACTGGGAATTCTGCTAGATGTAGAAAGGTTGAGCATATATCATGTTACAGGAAAAGGAATCAAGTTCAGGAGAATAAACAGCAGAGATTAGGGACTCCACCTAAAAGAATGGGAGATACAGGATTAAAGATTAAGATCAAAGAGTGTGGATAACTAAAAATTAGGCATCACACAGTAAGGATAAAGCTTGTAGTTACAGATTTGAAAGATAAAGTCTAGAGCACATCTCAGAGGGAGGGTGACCTGGGATGGTTGACTAGAACAAACAGGACCTCTGAGGGCAGCACTGTTGGGGGTGTGAGGGAAGGTAATTCCTGTGGCATTTCTCTTTTTGTCAGAGGGATCTTTAAATATGTTTTACTTATGATGAGAAAGTCTTATTTCCCTCATTTGTTTCTTTTTTAATAACTCTGGTAGGGATGCAGTAGAACTGAGTATTTAAGATAACTATTGCTAACTGGATAGGCAAAAAATAATCTCATTCAAATTTTTACTTTTGATCATAAGTGGGGTTTAACATATAAACCCATAATTAGCTGTTTACATTTCTTCTCATGTGAATTATCTACTCATACCATTTGTAATTTGTTTATTGAGATTTTAGGGTTTTTCTTCTTAACCTGTGCATGTATTGTCATATTTGCATAAGTATTTTTTGTCATTTGTTTTACCTTTTAATTTTGGTTTTCCACTTGTAGGGTATGTGGAATCAACAAAATGAAAAGGCAACTTAAGGAATGGGAGAAAGTACTTGTAAACCAGCTGTCTGATAAGGGTTTAACATCCAAAAAATATAAGGAACTCTTACAGTACAATAGCAACAAAACAAAACAAAACAAAAATCCCCAAGTACCCTGACTAAAATATAGGCTAAAGATCTATATAGATATTTTCCCAAAGAAGATACACAAAGAAAAGATGCTGTAGCTAATCATTAGGGAAATGCAAATCAAAATCACAATGAGACATCACCTCGCACCTGTTAGGCTGCCTGTTTTCAAAAAATAAATAACAAGTTTTGATGAAGATGAGGAGAAAAGGGAAGTCTTCTGTACTGTTGGTGGGATTGTAAATTGGTGCACAACAGAAACAATATGGAGAGTCCTCAAAAAATTAAAAATAGGACTACTATATGATCAGCAATCTCACTTCTGGGCATATGTCCAAGGGAAATGAAGTCAGTTTTTCAGAGAGATATCTGCACTCTTGTGTTCACTGCAGCATTATTCACAGTAGCCAAGATATGGAAACAAGCTAAATGTTTGGTGACGAAGGAATGGATAAAGGAAATGTGACATATATAATGGAATATTATACAGCCTTAAGAAAGAATGAAATGCTGTCATTTGCAACAACATGGATGAAACTGGAGGATGTTATACTCAGTGGAATAAGCCAGACACAGAAAGACAAATACTGTAAGATCTCACATATGTGTGGAATCTAAACAAACATAAAAAGCTGATCTCATAGTAACAGACTGGAATGGTGGTTACTAGAGGCTGGGGCATGGTGGAAAAGGGAGATTAAAAAAAAAAAGAAAGTAAAATGGCCATTGCCAGGGACTGGGAAGAGGGAGTCATGGGGAATTATTGTTTAGTGACCATGGAGTTTCAGATCTGTAAGATGAGAAGAGTTCTGGAGATGGGTGGCAGTGATGGTGCACAACCATGTGAATGTGCTTAATAACCACTGAGCTGTACACTTAAAAATGGTTAAGATAATACATTTATATTATGTGTATTTTACCACAAAAAAAATTGAGAAAGAAGAGAAAAAACTGGAAAAATATGTCAAAACATTAAAAAAAGACAAAATAAAATAAGAGAACATATGTTCAGATATTGCAGAGATTAATAACAGTAAGAAATTATGGTGGAAAGCAGTTTGCTGGTTCCCCACAAAGTCAAATGTAGAATTACTCTGCGATCCACCAATTCCACTCCTAGGTATATATTGGAAATAACTAGAAACAGGGACTCAAACAGGTATGTTCATAGCAGCATTATTCACAGTAACCAAAAGGTGGAAACAACCCAGGTGTTCATCAACAGATGAATAGATAAACAGAATATGCTATGTACACATAATTGAATATTATTCAGCCATGAAAAGGAGTAAAATTCTGATACAGGCTACAGCATGGATGAACCCTGAAAACATGATGTCAAGTGACTTAAGCCAGACACAAAAGGACAAATGTTACATAAGTCCACATATATAAGGAAGAGAATAGGCAAATTCATAGAGGCGTAAAGTTGAATAGAGGCTATTAGGGGCTGGGGAGAAAAAAAGAAAGGGGAATTATTGCTTAATGGGTAGAGTTTCTGTTTGGGATGATGAAAACATTCTGGAAAATTGTGTTGATGGTTACATAATGTGAATGTACTTATTTCTACTGAATTGTACACTTAAAAGTGGCTGAAATGGAAAAGGTAATGTATATTATGCCACAATAACATTTTTTTAAAGATAAAAGAAAAGATGTATCAATCTTTTACTTTGAACACTCTGTAATGACTTTTAAGATGACCTCCATGATTTTTTTCCAATGTATGTTTACATATAATTCTTATCCTCTAGGTATTATAAACTTCAATTTTTGCATATAACTTATCCATTTAAAATTTATGAGATACAGATACAGATTTATCAGAACAGTGTTTCTTATGTATTATCTTCTGCACCGATGAGTGATCTTTATCCTGTATTAAACTTATATATAATAAGCCCTGTTTATGTATAAATTCTGTTTTTTAATTTCAACAATACCAAAGGGATTGTTGCCTCAGAGTGCTTTTGGGTGTGGAGATGTGGATACTAAGTAAGCTTCTGGGTGTGTATTTACCTATGGCATCTCTTTCTGTATCATGGTTATCCCATATTAGTATAAACTCAGTGTTTGCAGAATGTAATTATCAAGTGATGCTATATAGCTCATTCAAATTTCTTTATAAATATTACATTTTCCACATATGGCTAAAGCTCAACACCACTGGTGTTGACAAGAAGCAATGTATGTCATGTTCAGTTTCATTAGCAGAGAGAGGTGAATTTAAAAAGAAAATCTGCTTCTATACCATTTATAGAGCCATTAGTTGTTAAATCATATCTGTTCTTTTCCTCTATCTTTCTAAATGCTTGGTGGCTGTGAATAAATTTTCCAAAGTTGCCCTGCATCAAGCTCTGAATATAATGCCTCGTGCTGGATATAATTCTTCCATTACCAGCCTCACTCATCCTACCAAGGCAAGTGGCCAAAAGTGTGACTTTAAATATGGTGAAGACTGGTAGAGAATCTTCTTGCTGAATTTCACTAATGGATTTTATTTCTTCACTTTAGAAGTGATATGTCTACCTACATATAGGGATATATTTATTGTTCCCTACTGAATGTATTTCCAATATTAAGCTGTTCCAGATATTTTCTAAAATACTTTAATTGGAGTCACTTTCCAGATATTAATTATCAAGTGACCTTGTCTATTTGTGTATGCCGGTCTCTGGGCAAAAGTCCTGATTTCCCAATGGTAGTGCATCTGAGTTTTTTAATTGTTAAATCATACTGGGCGTGTTCAGGCTCATAGATGGGGGTTCTAGGTCTATCATGTCTTTCTTAAGATTGGTCCATCCTAACCAATTTCTGCCTCCATTTGGGTTCTTGTTCTCTTATATTTATGGAATCCAAAGAAACATAGTCACTCTATTTATTACGATTGAGTAGAACATCAAAACTTAGTTGATTGTTTCTTAAATTTATCTGAGCTTCTTAGGTTCCTGGCAGGGTATACACTGATTTTTTCAGACTTGACCAGTTCAACAAACTCATCTACCTCCTCTTTTATTCCAATGAAAGTTTCAGAATACCAGACAGAGGAGGAATACCAGCCCCAGTGGGTCAGGAAATCTGGCTGAGGCTTGATTTATACATTTTGCGAAGGGAGGATATTTTATTAGAGTCAGTGCCTGCTGATTTGGTGAGGTTACAGGAAAAGCAACAGAAGGTTTCTGTGAAAAACAGGCAGATTTTTATGGAGTTTAGAAATCGGACAAAATTGGTGGTTGAGATAGCTGTTTGAGTGTTCAGGGATTTAAGGAGAAATAAGCACATGCTCCTGGAGCTTTGGCTATTTTCTAGTTCATGGAGAAGAGAAGTTTTTATAACTTTATGTTGAAGAGGTTCCTTATGTGCATGGAGGAAACAGCTAGAACCTCTCGCACAGCCTAATGACATGGGGATGAGCAGCAGCATCCAAGCAACCCAGGAAGGATGGTTCTCAGCCCTTGGAGATATAGTTGTGATTGGGATCCTAGGCCCTGGGAGAGAAACGGCCTGGAGAGAGGGTACACCTGTACTAAGAGGGCTGGAGGCAGCTGAAGTACCACTTCGTAAATTCAAATCTTGTAAATTTATTTGATCTTGTGAGGGACAGGCTTTTCCCTCCTTCCTTTGTTAAGGGCTTAGCACTCTATTCCTTTGGGAGAATGATCAGTTGAAACTGAGAAGAAAAGGCCTTAATAGTGTCAAATCTCAGAGAGAAGTAGGGATGGGAACCCAGGGGTAGAGCCTGGAGAATAAAGGGTTTGAAGTAGTAAGGATTACAGGACTTAGATTAAAGAGGGACAGTCAGAAAGTGGAAGCAAGCAAGGTTATGCTTAGCAGGCATAGGTCCTAGCAATAAGCAGGTGACTTTCAGAGACAAGGATCTTGTTCAAGATTTTAATTTTTAGAAGAAAAGAATAGTATATAT